GCGCTGAGTCGCTGCCCCTGCTGGGGTTTGACGTCAGAACATAAGTGTGGTGCTGCAATGCTGCGCACACACCCAGGAGGAGCAGCGTCTGCCCGGTCATTCTTGGACTTGTAGTCCTTGCAGTTTCATTATTATGTCCGTTTGAAGCCTCCATTCGTAGCCTCGGCCTCCCTCCAATTTGCTCTCCATCATCACAGTGCAGAGTTCTGTTTCTCACACGCACTATACATGTGCGGCATGCACGGCCGTATCGGGCAGCTCCCGGGAAGGACAGGTGCTGCGTGTGATTAGTACGCAGCCCCTGTCCTTCTCTATGGGACTACGTGGCCGTACGCTCACCTGCCCTGCACATCCATGCGGGTGTCCGCACTCCTACGCTGACGGGATGGATCCTGTCTGCGTCCGAGCCGGGACACCCGTACCCGCACGGACCTGCGCTTGGGGTGAGCGTCGGGCGGCGTACGGCCGCGTAGTGCCATAAGGAAGGACGGGGGCTGCGTTCTAATCACACGCAGCACCTGTCCTCCCCGGGAGCTGCCCGATACGGCCGCGCATGCCGCACGGAGCTGTACGCGCCGGCCGTTTCTCCTGTGAATGAGGCCTTGGGCTTCACTCACACTATGCGATTTGGGATAACTCGGGCAGGAACCTACAGAAGGAATCACAAATCTCCCATTCAGATGTGGCGGCTGTCACCCATTCAAGTTAATAAGCGGGTAACAGCAGCCGCATATGTAAGCGGCAGTCCCCATGTATTTGTACGAATTGTAAGGAGTAAGGCCTTGTTCACACCAAGCGCGGAGCAGATCCGGACCAGAGCAGGTGCAGACCGGATCAAAACTGCGTCCAATGTATTCCTATGGTATTTTTACCTCCAGTTCACATCGCAGCGTGCGGATCCAGACCAGATCCAGCCCGGATGAAAAAACTGCGGCAAGCCCTATTTTACCTGCTCTGGATCTGGTCTGGAACGCATCAAAAACGCATGCAAGTGCCTGAAAGCCCATGTTAAACTTTAAAAAACCCCGACCAGCACTGCCACACTCCTTCACCACCCCGATCAGCACTGCCACACTCCTTCACCACCCCGATCAGCACGGCCACACTCCTTCACCACCTCGATCAGCACTGCCGCACTCCTTCACCACCCCGATCAGCACTGCCGCACTCCTTCACCACCCCGATCAGCACTGCCACACTCCTTCACCACCCCGATCAGCACTGCCGCACTCCTTCACCACCCCGATCAGCACTGCCGCACTCCACCACCCCGATCAGCACTGCCGGACTCATTCACCACCCCGATCATATTTTCGTATACTCAGTTGGACCCGGGAAACAATATCCAGAAGACCGGCACTATGAGGCCGAAAACGTTTCCAGCCATTGTTTGCTTTGGGCAAGTGTCTTGCGCTGCCGTTCCTATCACCAGCCCCCTTGATGGATCCAAAAACAGACATGAACTTTTTGGTAATTTTAGTATGCACATTATGGCACACTTACCTTACAAGCGCGCCCTTCTCCAGCGCTGTTCAATTAGCCCTCTGTCCCCCGCTCGTCGACTTGCCTCCGCCGCCACTTCCACGTTCCCAGGCATCCTCTTCCACCATTGGGTGGCCATTGGTGATGTAACTCCTGCACATGGCATCCTCCCCGGCATCAGGTCCATTCACCCCATACAGCGTGCACAGCTAGCTTGCTAGGGGGAGTGGACGGACTTTTTGGCAGAAGAGACTTTGCATGTCCCTGCCTCCTAGCAATGTTTTGGAGGACAAGTTCATTTTATTGTTGGCAATACATTTGTATCTGTTCTTGGTCCTCGCAGGATGTGTGGCACGGTTTGCTTGTCCACATGGGACCCTTGCAGGTCTTCCAGCAGAGACTGGTGTTACCCTGCTGCATTCTCCTGTGGTCCTAGGGAAGCTTCAAAATCCCTCTCTTCTGCCTTACCCGAGGGGCTAGTCATTGATTCCCCACCACCATCTTCCACCCCCATCCAAGGGGCTAGTCATTGATTCCCCACCCGCACCACTTTCCACCCCCATCCAAGGGGCTAGTCATTGATTCCCCACCACCAACACCTTCCACCCCATCCAAGGGGCTAGTCATTGATTCCCCACCACCACCTTCCACACTCATCCAAGGGGCTAGTCATTGATTCCCTACCACCACCTTCCACCCTCATCCAAGGGGCTAGTCATTGATTCCCCACCACCACCACTTTCCACCCCCATCCAAGGAGCTAGTCATTGATTCCCTACCACCACCTTACACCCTCATCCAAGGGGCTAGTCATTGATTCCCTACCACCACCACCTTCCACCCCCAGCCAAGGGGCTAGTCATTGATTCCCCACCACCACCATGTTTGGGGGGGCCCCCCTCCACACACAGAGACAATAACTTTGTTCTTCTTTCTTCCCGCACAGAACCGAGAGCTGCAGATAATGAGGAAGCTCGATCACTGCAATATTGTGCGGCTTCGCTATTTCTTTTATTCGAGTGGAGAGAAGGTGAGTCGGCCATTTTTATCTTCATGGTTCGGGTAACGCTGACAGTTTGCAGAACATCACTGGGGCCTGTACCCTGAGCCACTGACACCAAAGGAGCTGACACTCTAATTGCCAGACCCCAACCCACACACATTCGGCCAGTCTGTCAACCCAAATGGCTATCATGTATAGTGCTCATTATATAGCAGCCCTTTTATCTAAGATGACGTTTAATTTGCTTTTATATTGCTCGTCAACATGCTAATGAAATTGTGCAATAAAACTTTTCCATTTTCATGACATACCTAATGTTAGTCCCTGTGATGTCATCACTGGGTCTCTGTGCTTCTCTCTGCAATGCAAGCATATCATGGCTGGTGGGAGGGGCCAACAGGGTGCTGTATGCAGAGTCCTGAAAACATCACCGCACCCTGCCTCAGTACTCTTCACAAGAGCCTTCAGGTCTAATGCAAGCAGTGGGTGGGATTGTGGGAGGGGTTATGCAAATTTCTAAATGATGGGCGGTTGTCAGTCTGGAGGAGTGGCAGCAGTCCAAGGCGGGGCTGCATTTGCATGCAGACCACACTGTAACACCCCCCATGTGATGCTGAGCCTCCATGATTGAGAGACCTGAAATCCAATGAATGAAAGGGGCGGGGCCAGGGACAGTCAGGCTGGGGAGGTAGGAGCGAGATGATGCTGGACATCCTCCAGCCAGGAAATAAAGGGGCGGGGCCAGGGGCCGTCAGGCTAAGAAGATAAGATGCTGGACATCTTCCAGGCTGTGGCTGAGAGGAAGGACCTTGTACAAGTCATGTGCCCGTGTCGCTGCTCGCCGCCATGGCGGTCAGTCTCGGGTGCAGCAATTTAGAATATTTGTAATAGGGACACCCCAGGGGTGCGATGGGCAGCCTGTTGACGTGCTGCTCCAGCTCCTCCCTCTCAGATCCGTGCTGTGCACAGTGTGGCGGATTGGCTGCTTGCAGCCTCTTTGAAGCCCGGTCACATGACCCCCATGAAATGCATCCCCGAGTGGCCGGGGTTAACCCTTTCCCCTCCCCGGCACAGCCGCATGATGGCCCGCGCTCTCCCTCCGCCTCTCCCGCAGCCAGCGAATATTTTCCATGTGTATTTCTGTTCTTCCGAGTCACCGCGCAACCAAAAATATCCCGGCGGGGGAGGGGGGTTTCTAGGAATTATCCGGCTGGCTGCGCCGTGCCCTCCTTTTCAGGGATAGAAGCAGATGCAGCAGCACATCCTACACATCAGCCCTCCGGCTTACACTGGAACTGCAAATCCCATCATGCATCTGCCTCTAGGGTGACATGCCTGAGGCCGTCAGTCTTGCAATGCCTCATGGGATTTGTAGTTGCGCCGCAGCCGGAGGGCCGGAGTTTGCCCACCCCCGTCCTACAACAAGGTTATAGAAGTGTGTGTCCTATGGGACACAGTAGCTGGGGGAGGGGGGGGGGGGCATGGTGTGCTTGTGAATGGTGTGCCCCCCCCCACGGGGCAGCGCTGGGGCCTGGCGATTTGGCTGCTCAATTCAATCTCTGAATGGTGACGTGTCACATGATTTCCTGTACCCCGACTTTATTGTGGTTGCATGCAGCAGCGTGGGCGGTGGTAAAGGGGGAGTGTAGGCGCCAATGGATGCCCAGCACAGGGCGCGGGGAGGGTTTTTGATGAGTCATCTTCCAGCCATTTCTGATGTCACGTGACTCACTGTCGGCCATTTTGTCTCCCTTCTCTTGCAGAAAGATGAGGTGTATCTAAACCTGGTGCTGGATTACGTCCCGGAAACGGTGTACAGAGTATTCCTCCCCTGACTTTTTCTCTCCTTTTTGTGGTTTTTGGTCCATTTTATTTAAATACTTTTTAATATTTTTAAACTGTATTTTATATCCCCCTGAAGACATGAACATGTACTGCGGAGTGCATTCTGGGTTTTTTGGTAGGGATGCACCGATACCGGTATTTTGGTATTGAGTACGAGTACCGATATTCTTTTCCCGGTACTCACCGATACCGAATACCGATCCCCGGAAGTCCCATTCAGGAAGCCAGACGGCGTGTAATGACTCGCCACCCGGCTTCCCGATTGGCAGGGACGCCGTCCCCATGCTTCTCGTCACTAGGTGACGAGAGAGCATGGAGCCAGCTTTCTACCCAATCAGGAAGTCGGGCGCTGTGTAATGATGCGACGCCCGGCTTCCTGATTGGCCCAGGAAGCCGGCTCTATGCTCCCTCGTCATGAGGTGACGGAACATGAAGCCAGCTTCTCGACCAATCGGAAAGCCGGGCGTCGCATCATTACATGCTGCCCGCCTTCCTGATTACCCGGGAAACTGGCTCCATGCTCTCTCCTCACAAGTGATGAGGGAGTATGGAGCCGGATTCCCAGCCAATCAGGAAGCCGGGCAGGGTGTAATGACGCGCTTTCATGACAGCTCTCTTGCAGCACTGCCTCTCTAATTGATACTCCGCACACAACGCTGTGAACGAGAGGCAGAGAAGCCTTTGCTCCGATGATCATACATCTGTCTGTTCTCTGTAGCAGAGGTGGGAAACCTCGGCACTCCAGCAGTGTTGGAACTTCAAATCCCAGGAGGCATTTCAAGACTCTGACAACCACAAGCTTGACGCCTAGAGTCAGAGGCATGATGGATTTGTAGTTTCACCACAGATGGCGTGCCAAGGTTAGGTACCCCTGGACTATACTCTTCATAGCGCAGAAGGAAGGAACGCTTGCAGTCAGGCTGTAGAGCGCCACCTGCTGGCTGAATGTCATAAATAGGGATTATTCAGATGTCGTGTTTCCGATTTACCTGAAATAATTTGTTTCTTTTGATGTTTAGTCCGCTGTGGTGGTCACACTTTACACCATGTCCTGTGTGAGAGCCAGGGACTGACTTAGAGTACACTTTAAGGCAGGGGTGGGCTATTCCAGCTGTGCTTTAACTACAAATCCCAACATGCCTCTGGGAGTCCCGCCTGTAACTGTACGTCTTGCAATGAGACGTCGTGGGACTTGTAGTTCCACAGCAGCTGGAGGGCCGGAGTTGCCCCTCTCTGCCTTTTAAAGGAGAACTATGAGGGGGGAGGGTGCTTTTCACTCAGCCTCATAGCTCTAGCCGACCTGTGACAATGAGACTGTCACAGGTCGGCTCAGTAGATCGGGAGGTGAGCGAACACATACCGGCGTTCGCTCACTTCTCGATCCTGTCACAGCTCTCTGCCGTGACCGGGGAGTGACTGGATTTCCCTCTCCCCGCTCCGATCCGCCAGCGCTGACTGGCGGAACGGACGGGGGAGGGGGCGCGGGTACAGCTGGCTCTGCCTCTAGATAGGCGGAGCCAGCTGTCACTCACGCAGCTGGGCGGATCCCGGCACAATTGTCGGGATCCGCTCCGGCTGCGGCGTCTCAGTATACCGCGAGCTGTAGCTCCCTATATACTGAGCTTAGGGTGACGGGAGGACGCTAGTTTGTGTCCTCCCGTTACCCTAAGGAGAACTATGGGGAAAAGCCCTGACCCCATAGTTCTCCTTTAAGGCGTAGTCCACCTTTTGGACCATGCTTTGTATTACAGCCTTGTTTAGGGTGTAGCATGGTCGCCTCCCCCGAATGTTTCATGGTGTGGTAGTTGCCGGCGGGTGATTATCTCACCGTTGTCACGCTGCTGATCGGCTGCTCGTCTCTCTTTCTCTCTTCCAGTTGTACATGTATCAGCTGTTCCGCAGCTTAGCCTATATCCATTCCTTCGGGATCTGCCACCGGGATATCAAACCACAAAATCTGCTGCTGGACCCCGAGACGGCCGTGCTAAAACTCTGCGACTTCGGCAGGTGAGTGCCCACCATCGGGTCATGTGTGCGGAGCCGCCTCGGCCTCTTCCTCCGGTGCCATCCCGGGGGTCAGCGTGTCTTCTGAAAGTGTGAGCGAGGATTGCAATGCTCGGGGTTCCCTGGCTGGGGGGCTCTGTGAGACTCTGTCAGTGTCTGGTGGCTAGTCACAGAAGCACTGAGCAGTGCATTGTGGGCCCGGGGGGTGCACACATGGGCCCTCCTACCAGTGTACATCTGGGGGGAGTGGAGGAGGTAGGCCTGTGTACCGCAGGATGCCCGCTACATACCGGGGTTAGTTGCAGCTTTTCTTGTATTTGTCATATTTTATTTATTCATATATACACTGAGTGTCCGGATTATTATAGACACGGAGTGTCCGGATTATTATAGACACGGAGTGTCCGGATTATTATAGACACGGAGTGTCCGGATTATTATAGACACGGAGTGTCCGGATTATTATAGACACGGAGTGTCCGGATTATTATAGACACGGAGTGTCCGGATTATTATAGACACGGAGTGTCCGGATTCAAGTACGGGTGCTGGTGTCACGGGTCGGACGCAGACAGGATCCATCCCGTCAGCGTACGAGTACGCACACCCGCATGGACGTGCAGGGCGGGTCAGCGTAGGTCGGCGTACGGCCGCGTAGTCCCATAGAGAAGGACAGGGGCTGCGTACTAATCACACGCTGCGTCCTTCCCGGGAGCCGCCCGATACGGCCGTGCACGCAGCACTCCGCTGTACGCGTCGGCTTTTTCTCGTCTGAATGAATCCTGAAGCAGAAGTATTCCACCATCCCACGTATCTTATATGAGTTTTATTCATTTTGTTGTCCACACAAGATACATTATTTATGTTCATTTCCCGGGTCAGTTCATCTCCGGCATCAGTTTGAGTTTCCTATCAGTTGATGGCATTCATGGGGGACTGGTGGCATGGTCCTGG